CCCCGAGGAAACTAGAGAACTAAGACCCTTTCTAATCCATTCATTTTTGCAAGCAGGGAGGATCCAGAGTGTTACCCCCTCCTATTCTAGGTTTTTCCTCGCCCCATAAGCACCCAACCTTCCTTTTGCTCTTCCTTCGGTTTGACTCCACGAACGCGCCACTTAGGATCCCTACTCATATTCCAAAGCCGCTACTTCAATTCAAGCGCAAGCCCCCCTCCCCCCCCCTTCTATTTCAGAACTTAAAAAAGCTATAAACAAAGTACCAAAGTGGTTGCGGGTACGATACGCTTTGGTTACCGGTGAAGGCAATACGCACTTGATAATACACCGACCGTAAATCAAACTTCGTGAAGTATCGTGCTCCACTCAACTGATCGAAAAGGTATGCAATAGGCATAAGGTACTTGTTCTGATGGTCACTTTGTTCAGCGCTCTATAATCAATGCAAAACCTTAAACTGCCAACATGCTTCTTCTGAAACAGAACCGGCACTCCGAACGTTTAGAGTTCTTGGTAAATTCCACCATAGTAGGAGAGAATGAAGGACAAAATATTGGAAAACTAAAAAGAAAGCCAGGGCGTCCAATAGATGAAGTCTACCTTTGTAATGTCAGGCTGAAAAATGGGGGATAATACTAAGCCCTAAAGTCATCTGCTTTCTCGCCGGTCGCAGAAAGTCTTTTAAGAAAAAGGCTTCCCTAAATTTTTGTGGCATCCGGATCGGGGTACCCCGGTACAACGAAGACTGGCCCCTTTGTTTCGGGGTACCACCGTTGTCACAGAGCATGGGAAAGATGCGCTACGATTACCCTGCTTGGAGGCATCTGGAGGCTCACGCAGCACAGCCGGCGAGTAGAGCCAAGCCCAACTATCTCGCAAGATTCTTCGATTGCATACCTATCAGTAGTAGGAGATCCTGTTCCCACTCGAGAGCTTGTAGTTGTCAATCTGGAAGATCTCTAAGGTGGAGTTGATCCCACAGATGCTCATCTTAGGAAGCCGTAATATGATAAACATAAGTATGTATGTCCATGTGAGGCCGGCGATATAGATGAAATGTATACCCGTCCGTGGTAGGAATCGATCAAGGGCTACTTTTAGGCTTTACTAAGAGAATTCATAATTCCCGGCTCTTAGTCATCGCTCTATGAAGGAGTGGGCGAATAAAGATCCGGAAAAGGCAGCGCCCTTTTTTGTTGGGTTAGAACGAGTATGAAGTCAAGGAGGAAGAAGATAGGGAAGAAAGAATATAGTAATATTTACCTTTCCCAGCTCTCAGAAATGGAGAAGGAATCAAAAATCTAGTGAACCCCTCAAACTCCGTAGGTAATTCGAGACAATTCAAGAAGAATAAGATAAGCTAAGACAAAGAACTTGAACATTGACAATAGAAAGTTGAATACTACCATTCTTTCGCGTTGACTCTTCCGCGGAGTAGCCTAAAGAATCCCCTTTTTCGCTTATTACTCCTATAGAACGAGAGANATAAACGTGATGAGCAAAGAGGTATATATCACACTCATTCACAAGCGCAAGATGAAGCATCCGCCTGAACGGGGAGAGGATTTACCTAAAACAAATATAGGCGTGTCAGGAAACAATGTGAAGTCACCCCTATTTTGTTGTCCAGGGAGATGTTGACTAATGACCTAAAAAATGCATGACGTTTGGGAAGCATGTGCTATACTATACTAGTCGTAGGGCGCTAGCTCTTGACTAATATAATTTTGTTGTTGTCACGACAGGCGTAGAGCAGTGCCCTATTGGTCTAATTTTTGCTTCCCCTTGGTATCGGTAAAAAGGCTGGTAAGCGCTTCCCGAATAGATTCCTTTGTCTTCCCCGGACACCGAACAAATGGAACCATGCTTCACGTGTCATAGTAAGACCACCCCTCTATAAGCTTTTCCTATAGCTCTGATGAACCTCT